TGAAGGGCTAAGAATGGTGAAGGGAATTGCTCAGGGTCAAGTAACTAGGGAGTATCTGAGACAGGATTTGAGCTGAGGTTTTCTCACTTCGGGTCCAGGTCTAACCACTAAGGTACCTACCTGTCTCCTAAGAAATGAAGGACAAGTGTGACTGAATTGCCTGATTGGCCAACTGTTTACCATCATTTAGCTAGGTAGCATAGTGGATAGAATGCAGGACTTGGAGTCAGGAAAATCCAAGTTTGAATCTTACCTTAGACACTCCCTAGTTATGTGCAAGTCATTTAGCTGCTCTCTGCCTCAGTTTCCCCATCTGTAAAATGTAGTAATAGTAGTATCTAATTCCCAAGATTAGCTAGGACAGTGAGATGGTGCAGTGCTCTGAGCCTGGACTGAGGAAGACTTCTCTTCCTAACTTTAAATCTGGCCTCAGACACTTACTGACTATGTGACCCTGGGAAAATCACTTAACCCTGTTTGCCTCAGTTTCTTCATCTATTATATAAACTAGGGAAGGAAATGGCAAATTACTCCAGTATCTCCGCTAAGAAAATCCCAAAGGGGGTCAAGCAGAGTCGGACATGACTGAAAAACTACTGAACAACAATTCCCAGCATTATTGTGAGGATCAAATAGGTAAACCTTAAAATGATATACTTGTGTGAACTTTTATTCAATTCAATCCAGCAGACATTTATTAAGTGCTTACATCTTGCGAAGAAGTAAAGGTCTAGGTCCCATGCACCTCAGATAGAAATGAAATAGCTTCTGCTCTCAAAGGGAGGAAGGCAGGAAGGAAGAATACATTGTTGTTGTTGTTTCATGTTTAATTCTTCGGGACCCCATTTGAGGTTTTCTCGGCAAAGATACTGGAGTGGTTTGTCATTTCCTTCTCCAGCTCACTTTATAGATGAGGAAACCGAAGCAAAGAGGTTTAAGTGACTTGCCCAGGGTCACACAGCTAGTATGCGTCTGAGATTGGATTTGAACTCAGGTCTTTTTGACTCCAGGCCCAGAGCTCTATCTACTGCACCACCTAGCTGGCCAAATGTAAAATATATGCAAAGTAAGTACAAAGTAAATTAACTAATGGAGGTAGGGGAGGGGCAGTGGTTCAGAAAAGGCCTAACGTAGAAAGCACTATTTGAGGAGAGCCTTGACTGGAGCTGGGGATTTTAAGAGGCGGAGATGAAAAGACAAAAAACATTCCAGGCACGGGGAGCATTCTATGCAAAGGCTTGGGGTCAGGAGATGAAATCTCGTACGGGAAACAGCAAGTAAACTAGTTAGCTGATGGCACATTGTGTGCTTAAGTAATGGGAAGTCAGCCTAGGAATACAGGTGAGATCTTAATAGAATGGCTTAATAGAGGGCTTTGAATGCCAGACTGAAGAAATTGGAGTGCATGGCTTTCTGAAAGTGTGGAGGATGTTATCGTTGTATAAGAAACCAATTTTCAAGTCAATAAACATTTATTAAGTGCCTTACCAATCATATAAGAGAAGGCTCTGATACTTAAGTGGTCTCTGAAAAAGAGGGGAAAAAACCCTTTTCTTTTGACGTTTTTGAGTAGGCTTTTGGAGCATGGAGCTGAGTGATCATTTAAAAACTCAAGCTTAGGGCTCTTTTCAGTCCTTTCAAGTCACAATATTGAACAATAAGAAAATGAAGTGAGTGGGCACTTACTTGACACTCCCCCAAAATATTGTGGTGTAAGTGCTGAGAGCAAACGATAAAGGAGAGGAAATCCAGGCATAGCGTTGTGTGGGACAGAGACCACTTACTCAAAAATAAAAACAAAGACTTAGATACCTTGAAAGCAGAAAGGAGTTTATTGCTTTCTCATGAGAAAGAGTACCCTCTTAGTCACCATTTCAGGCCAGGAGAGTTCGAATCCGCTCTTGAAACCAAGGCTTATTTATACCCTAACTTGAGTTCCTCCTCACTAACCCCCTTCCCCTTATCCCATTGGCTGGGCTTTCAGGGGGCACAATTTTTCCACGGAAATATAGAACAAAGGTAGTTACACAAGTTTGCCCAGAGACAAGAAAAGGCGGGAAGTTTTTGCAAGGGCAAGCAGTTCAGGTATGGGGGCAGGGCTTATTCTATCTGTTATGTGCTTAAAAACAGAGTCTGATTGGGGGAGGATTTTGAAAGCAGCAATCGAGAACTATTAACAAGAACTATTGATTCCCTGAGGAGGCTTCACTTGTGAGAGATCATCTCTCACATCTGACAAGCACCTTAGATATTTGGAGAGATTTCAGAGAATTTAGACAAAAAATAAGTTGGATCCATTGGACTAAGATGCTACTTGGAAAGTCAGCCCAGCAGGAATGGGAGGCTTTCCAGAATGAAATTTTGGAGGCACAAAGATAAGGAGGAAAGGGTGGAATTGACTGAAACAATGGTTCCAGATGCATAGTAAACTCTTTAAGCAATTTAGGTTTTAAAAAGACATATACCTAAGATGAAACTGAGGGTGGGCTACAGAGAATGAAGGGAAAAACAACAGCTTTTTAGGGTCCTGTAAGAATGTCTGGACTGCTAAAGTTGTTTTTTTAATTTTTTAATTTTATTTTTTTTTAATGAGTTGAAGTTAGAGGGGAAACCTAAGTTCATCTACTCTAACCTTCTCATTCCAAAGAGAAGGAAACTAAGAGCCCAAAAGGTTGAGCAATTTGCCCTGGGGCATAGAAGCAGTAAACAACAGAGGTAGGATTTGAACCCAGATTGTCGGACTAGAGTCTAACACTTTTCACTGCTCGGATATTTTGTAATGTTCTAACATGAGTTTCACAAAGACTAGGGCAAAAAAAATTTCCCAACCTGGTTTTCTAATTTTTTTTAAAAGAGAGTAAAAAACATTCCTTTCAGAAACCTGAAAATAAAACGAATGTGTCTACCAACAGTGTCTTTTTTTCTTTTCAAGATATTTCTGGCCCAGTAGTAGAATTTCTGGGTCAAAGGGTATGAATAGCTTCATGACTTTTCTTGAGTAATTCAAAATTCTTTTCCAGGACAGTTTGACCAATTCTTTGTTACAACTATCAGCCTCTAGCATCAACTATGTCTTTTGTATTTACCAGTTTTTCTTGCTTTATGGTGCAATCTAAATGTTGTTTTAATTTGCATTTATTTTATCATTAAGAGAGAAGTTTTTCATATGGTTGCTGACAGTTTGTAATTTTCATTTGAAAAGTTTTTCCCTATCTTTTGAGCTCTTGGTTTTATGCTTTTTGTTAGTCCCTTGCAGATCTTGAATATCTGACCTTTATCAGCAGTATTTGATGCATGGATTCTTCCCCTCTTCAAATCAGCTTCCTTTCTCATCCTAACTACTGATTTTGTTTTTTCAAAAATAATTTTATGCAAATGAAATTTACAAAGGAGCTATTAGTTGATAGAAAAAGATTAGCAAAGCCAAGAGAGAAGAAAGATTCAGTAAGGATGGTCAACAGTGGTAAATTATTCAGAGAATGTGGAAGAAGAAAAATCTTTTCAATCGTACAATTACAAAAGTCATTAGGCACTTTTGAGACAACAGTTTTTAGTAGAGTTGAGGGACTAGAAGTCATATTACAGGGTATTAAGGTGAGAGTGGGTGGGGAAGAAGTAGAGGCAGTAGGTGTGGATTATCCACTGGAGAAATTTAACTGAGAGAAATTAGATGGTGACTGGAGGGGGTAGCTGGAGCAAGTGAAGATTTTTTTTTTTAAAGGGGAGATCTGTGCACATTCATAAACAGAGGAGAAGGAGCTAGTTGAGTAGGAAAGAGAGAGGGGATAATTAAAGGAGCAAGGTCCATTAAACTTTGAAACAAAGAAAGATTTCATCCAAATAGACCTGAACATTTTCTCTCCCTAGGCAAATACAGCAGGGGAAACTTTACCCTGGGCCTCTCAATTCCCCTTCCTTGAATGTTAAATTACACTGTAATTCCTTACAATATCAGAATTATTTAAAATAAAGGAAGCTTCCCTCCCTAGCCTATCCTTAACTGTCAGTAAGGTATTAATTGTGAGAGTGGTTGGCTTGGAAGTGACAGATTATTTGTACCTAAATTTTTGTTTTTCTTTAAAAAAAATTTTTGTTTTTAGAGAGGTGCAGAGGAGAGAGGGAGAAAAAGTAAATGGTTGTGAATAGAAAAATTTTTTACAAAGCATGGAGGTAATAGTCACCTCTCACTATGAAACTTGTACTTTCTACATCAAGTTTTCAGTTACCCTTCTTGTAATTCTTTTAGCCATTATGGCTCTTTTATCTCATAAAACACATACCAGGAGGTCATATTTGCTCCTTTACATGCATTTTGAAATACTTTAATTTAAGGTGTACTTGATTTTGTAACTTTACGTGAAATTGGGATTCAATTCAATCTAATCTGACAAGCATTTGCAAAATACCTACTATGTGCAACATATCATTGATGGTACCAGGGTTAAAAAGACAAAAGGAAGATGTCCTTGCTCCTTAAGGAGCATACAACATACTAGGGGATATGCAGGGAGGACAGGTTAGGGAGAATATAACATGTACATAAATGAACACGTATAAAGTAATTTTGTTCTGGAAATATCATTGACAACTGGATGGAATTAAGAGGTTTTATGTGACTACCTAAAAGGTAGAAGTGAATTAAAATGCAGAGGACTCAGAAGCCCCTCAAATTATGTTATTCTATTTTCTTCAAATCTTAAGCCTATAATCATTTGTAAGACTAATCTTTGAGAAGTCCAGGTCAACTCTTAAACCACAATCTGCTCTCCCCCTGATTTTAGCAGCTCCAACTGAAATCCAATAAATTAATGTGAGGGTAGAATCTGTTATTCCGGCAAACTTGTTGATAAGAGCATTACTCATAATGCAGACAACGTTTTTCTTGGTTTTCCATATGTTTGGAATGAGCGATGAAGGATGTTTTGGAATGATTTCATGTGGCGTATATATGCCTAGTGGTGTTATCGTGTTTATAGAGTGTCCTCTTTTTTTCCAAGTAGTTCAGTGTTTCTAAGATGTTATCTTATTAGTCTTCACAACATGCTGGGAAGAAGGAAGAACATATTGTTCTCATCTGACAGACAGTGAAATGGAGGTAAGCAGGAACTTACTGATAAAGTATCAATCAGCAGAGAAAAATATTCTCAGACGGGTGTTCTAGCCACTAGTCCAAAGTGACCCTGCCATGGCTTGCTCCACTTCATTAACCCCTTTATCATAGCAGTTTTCATTTCTGCCTTTTCTCTGTTCCTGCATTAATACTGTCAACTCCTCATTGTTTGTGCTGGGAGAGGGGAAAGCAAAGCATAATCCCATCAGTGGAACAAAACTAATGTTTATTTGTCTTTGTAAAATGTTTTCAATGCTTATATTTGAAATATAGGTGTGTCGGATGTTCTGGGAATTCCCAGCATTCCAAACCCAGTAATGAAACTTAGCGCAGGAGCACCATTTCAGGAAGAACTGAAAATCTGTCTACTTTTCTACCTAGTTTCACTACCCAGGCCCCTCCTTGTTTATCAGACTTCATGCTGGGGTGACGGCGAAGGGAGAAGGGGGAGACTTGACATTACCTCTCAAATGATATAATGCAACAGCCTAAGCAAAAGCATTTCTCTCTCTCTCTCTCTCTCTCTCTCTCTCTCTCTCTCTCTCTCTCTCTCTCTCTCTCTCTCTCTCTCTTCTCTCTCTTCCCCTTCCCTTCTAATCCTGTTTTCTGTCCAGCTCACACATTTCCTTTGGAATAAAATATAACACATTTTGGTTAAAGGATGGAACCTCCAGTCTCCAGCAGAGTTGTAAATAGAGACGCTGATAATATTAACAAAGGAGTTACTCAAGTGGAATAGGTGATAAAGTCATAAGGAAGTCGATTGCAAGATTTACAATGGATAAATAAGAAGAGTAATAATATCAGAAAAAAAAAGAGCTGAAAACAGGATTGGCTGCAGATAACCACCGTGTAGGTACACAATCAGTCTCGTATGATTGCTATGGGAAATGTGAATGAGGGAGCAGAAATTATTTTATAATATTCATTCTTTCATTCAACAAAGAGTGTCTGCTATGCGTCTATCATAAATATTTGTTAGAATGAATGTGCAAGACACTGAACAGGATGGAATAACTTTCACAAAAATAGGGATTCAATTTGAAACAGCTTAAATATCTATATTTTTTCACAGGATCAGAGATTTTGAGCTGGAAGGGGAATCAGGGATAGTTTAGCTCAACTGGCTTATTTTACAGATGAGAATACTGAGGCCCAGAGACTTGCCAAAGATTTCATACCTAAGATGCTTTTGATGCTTTTATTTTTCATCTTATTTTGTTACGAGATGGTTGAAAGTTCTGTATTTAACTGTGAGCTTCTTCATCTCTCTGTGTCCAGCCTGTGTTAGGCGCTGTAGAAAGCAGCATCAGTAGAAGTGGTTCTTAGTGTCTTAGAGTTCATAATCCAAGCAGATGCAGGGATCAAGCAATTGACTCATTCAAGCAATAGGCATTTTTAAATTTTTAAATTATTTTTATTTATATCATTAAATATTTATTGAGTACATGTAAAATTTTTTTAATACTTTTTTTAAAAAATTGAGTTACGGTTGCCTATTCCAATTTAGAAGTTTTCACTCTCATTTCGATTCCAGAAATCCTACTTTAATTGACAGCATTGACTTGATCAAGTTTTTAGCAGTTATTATGAGTACGTGTTTATGTATTAGGCTGGGGGGAAAGGCAAGCAAAGACTTTTCAGGGTTCACTACCTCGTTGAGAAAATGAAACCTATCACAGGAAAAGATAACTAACAGTAAAGGAAGTACATGATTAATTGTTCCTTCTCTCTCATTTCTAGGCGTCTAATCTAGGCTCTCATCACCTCAGGCCTAAATAAGCCAATAACTGGATTGTCTCACATCTCAGACTCCTCCAATTCATCTTGCAATGTTGCCAGATTAATCTTCCCAAAGTATACCTTTCATTATGTCAACTCTCCCCCCTTCCTCTCTTGCACACACACATGTCACCTCAGGGGGTATCTTATTTCCCAAACTTTGTTTTGTGAAATCCTCCACGAAATCAATAAAACTTCTGTGTGAAAATTTTAAAGTTGGTGACAGTTTTCACTTGGGGGGGGAAGAAAAATAAGCATTTATATAGTACCTACTGTATGCCAGTTATTCAATCCTTGACCCCTTTTGGGGTTTTCTTGGCAAAGATACTGGAGTAGTTTGCCATTTCCTTCTCCAGGGGAAACTGAAGCAAATGTGGTTTTGTCACTTGCCCAGTGTCACACAGCTAGTTAAGGTCTAAGGCCAGATTTGAACTTTGATCTTCCTGATTTTAGGTCCTGTGCCACCTAGCTGCCTGAGAATAATAAATACACACATACAGATATTTAAGTTGCATGTAATAATTTTTCAGTATGAAAATAGAATTATTTTCCTTCAGTTTTCAAAAATTTTTCCTTGAGTTTACTTATTCTTTCTCAAATGATAGTTCATCTGTTTGGACTTCTCAGTTTAGAATTATGGATTTCATAATCCAAAGTGTGTCCTTTCTTCTTTTCTCTACCTTTTCAAAACCTTCCTACCTATTTGTCAAGGCTTGGGGTCCTTCATGAGGTCATCTCCCACCAATCTAGCCCATATCAATGAGTCCTTCCCCCAAACATTCTCAGCTCTTGTGATCTATGCCATTTATTTTGTTAAATCATTGGATATTAACTTTTTTAAAAAAATTATTTCACACTGAAAGTTTTTATTATCAATTTTAAAATTGCAAAAGGCAGAAGACAGTTCATTTGTTTCTTCTGCATCTCCCATAATGTCTAGTGCTATGCTATAGAAACATCCTGGTAAATATTTGTTATATTGAATTGACTATTTGGACACTTTTGTTTTCCTAGATTGAAGTCATCTGTGTCATAACTGCATGGGATAGCATGCAGAGGTTTGGTGTCAGAAAGACCTGGTTTCAAATCTGCCATGTAGCTATGTGACCTCAGGGAAGACTTAATTTCTTCTTCTATAAAATTGAAGCTAATAAATATCTTTTGCATTTACCTGGAAGGTGATGATGAGACTCAAAATGAGAATCAAAAACCTAGATCTGGAAAGGACCTTAAAGGATATCTAATCTAATCCCCTCACCTTACAGATGAGAAAACTGAGGTGTGGGGCAGTGTGTAGTGATTTGGCCATGTTCACACAGGTAATAATTGTCGGAATCAGGATTTGAACTCAGGTTCTAAGACTCCATCTTTTTTTCTCTTTCTGATTCCACAATCTCTCCCCAAGACATCACTCTTATCACTTTAACGTTAAAATCAAATAAATGAAACGGTTGCTCTGATTATGCATCCACATAATTAAAAAAAAAAAAAGAGCCGCTGGGTGGAGTAGATAGAGTGCTGGCCCTGGAGTCGGAAAGACTCTTCTTCCGGAGTTCAAATTTGGCCTCAGGCACTTCCTAGCTGTGTGACCCTGGGCAAGTCTCTTAACCCTGTTTGCCTCAGTTTCCTCATCTATAAAATGACCTGGAGAAAGAAATGACAAAATGCTCCAGTATCTTTGCCAAGAAAACCCCACATGGGCTCACAAAGAGTCAGACGCGATGGAAATGACTGAACAACAAATAATAAAAAGGAAAGTATAGTTTTTAAAAATAAAGGTCCTCAAATTTCTAAAGCAAGTTAAAAGGTATGATAACACGTTAACAACAATAGCAGCAAAATCCTGTTTCTAGGATTTTAAAAATGCTTCTAGCATGGAAAGATTTACATGAATTGAGGAATCAAAAAAACAATGACTACAATGAATACAAGAACATAAATGGAAAGAACAACCACAAAACAAAACAAAAAAAATCATATTGTAAAATCACAAAGAACAAGCATGGCCCCAACGAAGAGATAGGAGAAGTCACTTTCCCCACCCCTTTGCAGGGGTGGGTGTCCATCCAGATGAAAGAGTGCATCTACTGTCAGATTTTTTTTTAACTAATCATCCTGATCTCTCTCTCTCTCTCTCTCTCTCTCTCTCTCTCTCTCTCTCTCTCTCAATCGGGGTTGAGTGACAGGGTCACATGGCTAGTGAGTGTCTGATGCCAGATTTGAACTTAGGTCCTCCTGATTTCAGGGCCAGTGCTCCCTCCATTGTTCCACCTAGCTGACCCTTCTCTTTTTCTTAAAAAAAAAAAATTCTAAGTTACATGGAATAGACAAGGAAAGGGGGAGGGGAATTGAAAATTTAAGGGATGCAAAAACAAAAAATTTATCAATAAAATGTTTTTTAAAATGCTTTCAGGCTAAAGCCTTATTTTGTTCTGAATTAGGATTCCCTGGACCAAGGATTTCCTCACTGGTGTGGAAACTTACTCCATTCATGCAGATTAGATTAACAATTGCTTATAATGCAGAGTCTTTTGGGTGACTTGTCCACAGTCACACAGCTGGTATATGTTAGAATCAGTAAGGGCTTCCAGAACTTGGAGGAAGGGTTAGATTGACTCTATCTGCCCCCAGGGAGGCAGCTAGATTGTGAAGTGAATGGGGTGCTGGGCCTGGAGTTAGGAAGACCTGAGTTCAAATCCAATCTCAGATACATACTAGCTGTGTGACCTTGGGCAAGTCACTTAATCCTGTTTGCCTTAGTTTTCTCATCTGTAAAATTAGCTGGAGAAGGAAATGGCAAACCATTCCAGTATCTTTGCCAAGAAAACCCCAAAGGGATTTCCCCAAAAGGAGGAGTCTAAAACGATTGAAATGACTTAACAATAGGAATCTGGCCCCAAAGGGGGAGATCCAGGACTATGGATAGGAGTTGTAAAGAAGAAAATCTAAGCTTGGCATCATGGAAAACTTCCTGACAATTTAGAGTTGTCAGAATGGAATGAACTGCTTTGAGAAGTGGAGGCTTCTCCCTCTTTAGGGTATCCCTGTGGTTTATACACTTGTCACATGTGTTATAGTGAGGATTCCTTTCATATAAAGATAGTACCAGTTGCTCTTCAGTGTGCCTTCCCACTCAGAAATTCTGTGATTCTGTAAATGTAAGAGCAACCTTCTGTCCCCTTTGCCTCTCAGGGTAAAATGTACTACAGGTTAATGCTGAACAGTTGTTTTCATTCCAAGTTTTCTTTTAATGGAAAACATCAATATTAAAAAACAGTACAAAACAAATGAGACACAGATAACTTACAGGTGGGGACATGAATTCAGGTAAAGAACATGTCATAAATGTAGGCCTTCAATGAATATTTGAATTTGGGAGCCAGAAACTGCCAAGAAATGTACTAAAGAAAAAAATACGTCTTACCGTGTGATTCATTATGAACATTTCCCATGAACAATCTATGCTATTTTTACTGCACAATTATATGCGTCTACTTAAAGTATATTTAAGTCAACAGAAACTGTGCTTAGGGAAATGAATTTAATCTTCATGGTCACTGACACACAATGTAATCTTGATTCTCCCCAGATTTATTCTTTAAGTAACTAAATGACTCATAGTCTCAGAAAATATTTTCTGGAGTAGGTAAGTCTAAGCTTGGTGAGAAATATTCTGAATATTTCTTTTTTTTTTTTAATGAGTATTTTAATATTGGCATCCCCTCCTTGGAAAGAATACTTGATTTTGGTTCAGTAATAAAAATAGTCTATTTTCTTTCTGAGGAATATCTCTCAGGACAGAACCATAAAGCCAAAGTAAAGGGGAAATGTATTTCAGTGACAAAAAATGACAGTTTTAAGTTGGGGGACCTGGTTTGAGGACTAGCACCTGTGTGATCATGGACAGATCACTTTACTTTTCTGCACCTCAGTTTCCTCATTTGTAAAATGAGTGTTGAATTGGATGACCTCTAAGATCCCTTTGGCTTCTAAGTCTGTGATCCTTCAAAGTAAAGAGAGTTAGATGGTTTTTTTTTTAAATTAGAGGTATTTGGATTTAATTCTTAAAGTTGCCAGAGACGCACCGAGCTAGCTATACCGAAATGTTGCCATTACAGTTCTGTTCTGGACAGTGTTCGATCTGTTTCTCCTTAGCTTCTAGAAGCAGACAGTCAGCCTATGTTTTATGTGGCCTGAATATCATAGAATCAGAGAATTTTGGAGGTGGGAGGTACTTCAGCATCCATCTAGGCCACCATATAAAGCAAAAGAAAACCCCACCATAGTAAAGCAATAAATATTCATCCATCCTTGCTTGAAAACATTGAACAGCCCCAATCCTTCGAAAGCTTTTCTGCACTCCAGAGTTAAATAAGGCACGTGCAATCGGTGTTGCACACAACAGTATTGTAAATGCTTGAAGACTGCCACCACATCTCCTCCCCCTCCCCCATCATCTTTTCTTTTTTAGGTAAAACATCACAGTTTCATCCGCCAAAGACCCTTCATCGTCCCGGCTGCCCTCCTCTGGATGTTCTCCAGCTTATTAATGGTGTTCTTAAATGACGAACATAATATTCCAGATGTGTCCTGACCAGGGCAGAGGACAGAGGAAACTCCTTGTCTCTGTGAAATCTGTGCCTCTCTGGAGATAGCCTAAGATTGCATTGTTGTTTTTGGTTGTTGCATAACAAGGCTGACTAATGTTAAGCTTGCAATCATTCAGCACATATCCTTTTCAGAAAAAAAAAATAAAAGTTCTTACCTTACCCTTCCTCTTCCATCCTGTACTTACGAAGCTGATTTTTTGAACCCAAATATAAAACTTTGCATTTATCCCTACTAAATTTCATGGTACTACGTTTAGCACAATGCTTTACCCTGTTAAGACTTTTTTGGATCCTAAGTCTGTCACCCAGTGCATTTAATTATCCCTCTAAATTTTTTTTGGCATTAACCAATTTTCAATTAATCCACTAATAAACATTTATTAAGTTCCTACTATGGGCCAGATGCTATGCTAAGCACTGAGGATACAAAAAGAGGCAAAAGATAGTGCTTGCATTCTAGGAACTCCCTATCTAATAAATTTGGTGAGCATACCATCTACACCTTTAATTACTTCATTGATAATAATTTTAAACTCCATAGGACCAAGCAGAAATCTCATAAT